TGAAGACACTAAGCTCTCTGCCTTCTTTCTCCCCAACTCCTCTTCTTTTCTGGTACCATTTTCTACTGCTTCAAGTTCTGTGCCATGGAAATTATGAGTTGGGAGACAGAAATCTCCTTCTCTACCCCTGATTTCTTCAGAGACCAGAGATAGATATATAGATGGCTGGATATGTAGATAAATAGTAGATAGTTAAATAGATAGATAGATGGGTAGACAGATAGATAGAAGATAGATAGATAAATAGGTATATAGATAGGTAATTAGAACAATTATTAAGTACTATGTGCCAGGCATTGTTAAAGTACCCTATCCTTCAGATCTCAGTTTTTCTCCTCTGGAAAATGGGAATGACTGTCTCTGCTCTGCCTCCTTCACAGATCCATTGGGAAGCTCAGATGGGAAAATGCAAGTATTTTGAAACAGTAAAGCCACATATCCTACCTCATACAGGAAGATGCCCTTATCATTAATGCCCTTTTCCTCTGCAACCGATCTTGTAGTTGCTTATCCAAAAGGCAGCAAGATACAGTGGAAAGGATCAGAATCAGAGAACCTGGCTCAGTAGTCAGAAGAGCTGGGTTCAAGCTCTACCCTTGAAATTTACTCTTGTACCAAGTCACCAGGCTTCCACTTTGTCAGCTCTTAAGTGAGGGGTGGGGTGGGCTTAATAGCCTCTGTTCCACCATTAGATCTAGGATCCTATGAATGGAAGCTCTTTGAGGGCAGGGACTGTTCCCTTGGTGCCTTTGTATGCCCAGTGCCTGGCACATAGTAGACACTTAAGAAATGAGTGTTGAATTGATTTAAACAAGGAAAGGTCAGCTGTTATTATTATTACTTTCCCAAGAGAAAGTCCCAGAGGACTTTTCAAGGCGGAGGTGAGGGGAATCCTTGCAGAAAGCTGAAATTACAAGTTCTATTTTCTGATTAGTGGTATCATTGCTGGCATCCATCCAGGAGAGAATACTGCTATTAACCAGTATGATATAGTGGGAGGAACACTGGGGTCAGAATCAGAGATCTGGGTTGAAATCCTGACTCTGTGACTTCCTACTTGTGAGACTAAGTCCCTTAACTTCCTTAGGTGTCAGTTTCTTTATCTGTAAAATGAAGGGTTTGGACTAGCTCATGTCTAATGTCTCTTCCAGCTCTGAATCCTATGATTCTATTGCCCAGAGGTAGGTATAAAGTGAGATCCCTCCACCCCCACTCCTCTACTCCAGTACTCCCACCATTAACTGGGGGAAGGAAGCAGGTTTGTCTGAGGAATGCACCCTGTAGGTGTTACACTTTCACCTTGGTAACTGCTGTAATGCAGTCTGATCTACACTCATCCTTCACTTTTCCTGCCAACTTGTTCCTGTTACTAATGAAAATGGAAAAAGGGACAGGCAGAAAAAGTTGTGCTTGGATTAGAGTGGAAGCAATGGTGGTGAAATACAGAGAAAAATTTCTTGACTATCTGGAGACAAAAGCTGGAATGGGCTCCCCAGGGGCAAAGTGGAGTCTCTCTTCCATTCACCTGACTGAAGGCAGCTTGCTTCCTGATCTCTCTCTGTTTCTATGTCTCTCTGTCTCTGTCTGTCTCTCTCTCTGTGTCTCTGTCTCTCCCTCCCATCTCTCTCTCCCTCTCTCTCTCTCTCTCTCTCTCTCTCTCTCTCTCTCTCTCTCTCTCTCTCTCTCTCTCTCTCTCTCTCTCTGTGTCTATCTCTCCTCTCTCTCTCTCTCTTCTCTCTCTGTCTCTCTGTTTCTGTCTCTCTTCTCTCTCTCGCTTCCCCCTTTTCCTCTCTCTTTTCCTTCTCTCTTCCTCTCCCCCTACCCCTACCTTTCTCCGTCCATCTCTCTTCCTACTTTCTTCTATTCCTTTTCATTTTCTCTCTCTTCCTCTTCCTTCATTTCTCTTTACTCCTACCTTTCCTCTCCATCTCTATTATTTTCCCTTTCTCTTCCTTCCTCTTTCCTTCTTTCTCATTTCATATCTTCTTCTGCTCCTTCTCACTCTCTCTTGTTACTCCCTCCATCTCTCCCATTCCCTCCCTTCTCCTTCTGTCTCTCTTCCTTCTTCCCTCAATATCTCTCTTCATTTTTCTCTCCTTCTAGCACCATCTCTATCCTTCTTTTCTCCATCTATTTCTCCTCTTTTTCTACTTCCCCTCCCTTCCCTCTCCTCTTTTTCTCTCTCCCTCTCTCCTTTTCTCCCATCCCTCATTCCTTCCTTCTCTCTCCATCCCTTTCTTCTGCCTCTCCTCTTCACCACTCCATCCATCACCCTGTCTCTTTCCCTCCCTCCTTCTCTCCCTCCATCTCCTTTTCCCTCTCTTTCTCTCTGTCCTTCCTCTCATCTCTACCACTCCATTCAACTCTCTCTCTCTCTCTCTCTCTCTCTCTCTCTCTCTCTCTCTCTCTCTCTTTCTTTCTCCTTTTTTCTCCTTTCCCCTCTCTATGCAGGGAAAAGATGAGTATGTATGTGTTTGGTTGGGGGGGTGGCATTGAGGAGAGAGGCAGCTGCTCAGCATGAGGACAGCATCTCTGTGGGGGAGCTGGAGCCTGAAGTCAATGTGAACCTCCTCAGTGGGGAGGGAAGAGAAGGGATCCAATCACTGATGGTGGTCGATGACTCTGGATGGGGCTTGCTGGGGCCCCTTCCCTTTGATGGGGGAAACTTTGCTGGGAAATAGGGCTCATGCTTAATGTATGAGCCAAGGCTTTAGCACAGTCAAAGAACCTGATGCAGCCTGGCATATTCACACCCACATTCCCCACCCCCACCCGCACCTCCCTCCCCTCTCAGCTTTTCATAGGCCCAAGGCAAAGCCCAAATCCTTTAACTTCCTGCCAATCTGTAAGCTCGGTAAGGGTACCTCTGGAGGGCCAGGATCGAGTCAACGAGGAGGAGGAGGAAAGAGCTTTTTCCCTCTTCTTTTTTTTTTCTTTCCTTCTTCTTCATAGAACAGCAGCACCAAATCCTCCAAAGCCTCCCCCTGGCTCTGTCTCAGCCCTTTCCCTTGCTCCTCATTCAAGCCCCATTTGTAGCTCACCAGCTGCTGGCTGTCTGCAGAAGCATTTCTCGGAAGGAGCCAAGCTGAGCTGAGCTGAGCTGAGCTGAGCTGAGCTGAGCTGAGGGGAAGGAAGGCTTCAGAGGGAAGGGAAGAACGGGATTGGAACAGAGCAAATGCAGCTAATGGGAGCAAGACCCTGTGCAGGCCGTGGACTGAGACAGAGCCTTGACAAATTCTTGGGGCCTAGGAGTCTTTCATATTTAACAGCCAGAGCAGTGCCTTGCACACAATAGCTGCTTAATTAATTGAATGGTTGCAAAGGTGTATATAGCATGTTATAGTTCCAAATCTCTTTCTCCACTGGAGGCTGCTAGGTGGAGTAGGTGATAGAGCTGGTATTACAATCAGAAAGATTTGTGTTCAAATCCTGCCTTAGACATTTACTAGTGATGTGATCCTGCTTTCTGCCTCAGTTTCCTCATCTGTAAAATGGGGATAATAATAGTACCTCCCTTCTAGGGTTGTTGGGGGGAAAAATGAGATATTATTTGTAAAGTGCTTTGTAAATCTTAAAGATCTATAGAAATGCTAGCTATTATTATTCTCATTTAACAGATGAGGAAACTGAGGCCCCAAGAAGTATGAAGGAGTCTAAATTTAGAGCCAAAAGGCATCTCAGAGGTCATCTGTTCCAATGCCATCATTTTTCACATGGGGAAAAGGTGAGTCAGAGATACTAATGACTTGTCCAAGGTCACACAGATAGTAAGGATCACAGCAGGGCTTTGAACCCTCTGAACCTCTGACTCCAAATCACTGAAATGCTCTTTCTATCAAACCACACAACCTCCTTATGACTTGTCCCATGTCACACAGGTAGTTAGTGGCAGAGCCAGGCCTTGAACCTGGGTCGGCTGATAAAAAGTCTGGTGCTTATTCTACCCTGCCAGGCCACAACTGGTAATAGGTGATATGGTCTGGAAAGAGGTCAGGCAGTCAAAAAGCATTTACTAAGCACCTACTACGTTCCAGGCACTATGCTAAACACTGGAGATAGGAAGAAATGCAAAAGTCAGTCTCTGCTTCTAGGGAGCTCAACAATCTAATGTGGGAGACAACAAGAAAACAATTAGGTAAAACTAGAGACAAGATAAATTGGAGGTCATCAATGGCAGGTAGGTGAGGAGAGATTCCTGGAGGTTCCAAAGACAATTAAATCTTTACTTGATTCGAAGAAGGGGCTATTCTGTCAGTCACCAGGTAGATTCTGGCGTGGCATCACAGCTTTAAACCAATGCCATCTCTGTTTTCTCCCTGGCTGCTGTTACCATCCATGCTGAGCAAAATGCTCCTAGGGTTTCAGCTTGAGTACTCTGGGTACGTGTTTCCATTTGAACAGGGAAGGGGCTGAGCAAGATTATTCTTAAAGGCCCTTCCTATTTCTACGCTCTATGGAAATATCGCTGAACTTGGATCTAGAAAATTTGAGTTCTAGTCTATACTTTCCAGCTGTGTGACCTTGGGTAAATCCCTTACCCTCTCTGGGCTTCATTTTCTACCTCTGTGAAGCAGGGATAGTAATGCTACCTCACAGGGATCCTGTGAGGCAGAAAGTGCCCTGCACACTTTAAATCACAATAAAAAGGTGACTTATGATTATCACTTAAATTCAATTCAATAAGCATAAATCAAGCACCATGATTCAGGCCAGGCACTAGAGGGACCAAGACAAAAGTGCCTGCCCTTGAGAAGCTGTTGTTCTAATGGAATGAAGATTAGCATCATCTCAAGTCTATTCGGAGTCTCCTGAGATTAGGCACTCAGTAACTAAATATATCTCACTGAGTCTGTCTGGGTGAAGCCATTGAGGAAATATTCTAGGGCTGGGGCCCCTGGAGGTAGATCCTGGATCACCCCTTTCAGAGCCTTCCAGGTAAAAAAGGGGTCTCTTGGAGACCCTGGAAGGAGATGAAGTGGAGATGCCCTGTGAGGGCTCACCTTGAAGAAGGTCATGGTGGCCCCATCCTTGACTGCCCCATACTCAATCTTGGTCTGCTTGGCCAGGTCATCCGCTGAGTCAATGGGAGATTCCATCCGCTCCACTGTCAGGAAAGCCGCCAAGTTGGCCGTGTATGAAGAAATGATGATCAGCGTGAAGAACCACCAGATGCCGCCGATGATCCTCGTGGACAAGGCTTTGGGCATTAGTTCAGAGCCTGGGAGGAAGGAAGGAAAATTGGGATGTTACAATATCTGAATCCATGAACTATCAGAGGTAGGAAGGGTCTTAGAGATCATCTGATCCAGTGCCCTCATTTTACAGAGGAAGAAACTGAAGGCCAGAGAAGGGAAGGGCTTTGCCCAGGTGGAGTCACAATTAGATCCCGGGTCTCTGGACTCTCATCTCAGGGACGTTTTAATCTTCTTGTTGTTGTTCAGTTGTTTGAGTCTGTTTGACTTTTTGTGACTCCATTTGGAGTTTTCTTGGCAGAGATGCTAGAGTGGTTTGCCATTTCCTTTTCCAGCTCATTTTACAGATGAGGAAACTGAGGCAAACAGGGTTGAGTGACTTTGCCCAGGCACACAGCTAGTAAGTGTCTGAGGCCAAATGTTCCTGACTGCAGGATCAGCACTCTATCCACTGCACCACAAATCTTGTTAATTGTACTTCCCTAGTATTCACTGCATCCAACCTCTTCTGACTATTCACACGGCCAATGCTACTTCTTGCCCGTACTATTGCAACAGTCTCCTGATTGGTTTCTCTGCTTCACATCTCTCCCTTCTCCAATTCACATCTTCTACACAATAGCCAAAGCAATCTGCCTTAAATGCACACCACCTACTTACCCCAGAAACTTCAGGGGTTCCCTACGGCCAGCAAAATAAAATATAAACTCTGGATTTTCAGTTCATTCATAACTTGATTTCAACCTGTTATAGCTTTCCAGCCATATTACTCCCCTTCACGCATTCACTGGTCCAGCCAATTTGGCCTTTTTCCTATTGCTCATATATAACATGTCATTTCCATCTTTGTACCTTTACTTTGGCTGTCATTCCCATGCTCCCCCTGCCCCACCATGCTTGGAATGACTTACTTCCTCATCTCCACCTTTTATATTCTCTTGTTTCCATCAAGACCCAGCTGAAGCACCATCTTCTACATGGAGGATTCCCTAAACCCCTCCCCCAAATCCTAGTGCCTTCTCCCAAAACAACTTTATATCGATTTTTTTAATATTCTGAATATATTTATACATGTACATATCCTTCTCAGGGGCTGTTTTGGTATTTTGTGGTAGTATAATGCTTGAAACATAATAGGTGCTTAATAAAGTTTATTGCTTATTGATTGTTATTAGATAGTGCTTTGAGGTTTGCTACATACTATGTATATGTGTGTATGTGTGTTTATTATATATACATATGTATATATGTGTGTGTGTATGTATGTGTTGTGATGTATAAAAAGTGTGAGAGATAATTTCTGGGTAATAAATAATTTTATTAATTATGTTAGCAGACAATTAATAAAAGGGGTCAGTGACACTCTCAAATGCCAAAGACCCCTCACAGAACCCATTCAATATTAATATGCCTTTGGTAGAGTGGGTATTCCCGAGGGTGGCAATCAACTCTGGTTAACAAGTAATGAGAGAATGAATATTAGAATGAGAGGTGGACCCATTCTAATGAGGGACTGGGGGATGTGACTTCAACCACTCTCCCTCCCAGACCACCTCTAGCTTCAGGCAATCTAGACAAGGATCTATTGCCCACCCAAGCCTGAGTAGAAAACAGTGGGCTTTGCCACTTGGGTGAGGTCTGACTGAGATTGAAGAGAAAGGCAATCCAATCTCATGATCTGCAATATCCTTCAGATGCAGACTTGACCCAGTAGAGAATGAAGGAAGTAGTAAAGAGGAAGACCAAACAAACAAACAAACTCTGGATCTTCCCAGTAGTTATTTAATACTAATTTCTTTCAGTATGCATACAGAGTATCCCAATAGTCTTTGTGTAATTTTAAGCTTATTAGTTAGTGCACAACTGCACTAAGACTCTTGGGACACCTTATTCAGTCTCATTTGTTTCTCACAACAACCCCCGGGAGGTAGGTGCCATTATTATCCCCACTTTACAGATGAAGAAACTGAGGCTGAGAGTTAAGTCACTTGTCCAAGGTCACAGAGCTAATAAGTTATCTGAGGCAGGATTCAAATTCGAGTCCACTGCTTTCTTCATTATGCCACCTAAGCTGTCTAATTTCACATAGGAACAAAAAAAGAATCCTTGGCTATGAAGTCCATACTCCTGAATTCTTATGTTGGCTTTGCTTCCTCCTTGCTGTGTGACCTTGGGCTAGTTACTTTCCCTCTCTGGGCGTCTGTTTCTTTATCTATAAAATAGGGGAGAGTCATTCCCCCTTTGGCTCTGTCTTATATGGAAAGTGTGAAGAAAAGATGAGAAAATGTATAGGAAGATGCTTTGGACATAAAAGGCCTGTAGGAATATAAAGCAGCTACAGAGCACGAGGTGAAAATAAACATTTGGGGGGAAGCATTTTCACCACTCTCTTTATCTCCGACCTTGGTTATGGGGCACAATTTGGAGGAAACCTTCAAATCAAAATAATTAACTAGACTGCTTTCAAGAGATTTAAATAATGAGTGACTCCTGAACTTCCCACAATATTTGGTCCCACAGTTTTAAAAGCTTCTGCTTTGATATGAAATGGCTGTTTTTTTTTTTCTCAAAGAAATCACTTGAGGGAGAGTTTTTCAAATACACAACTATTTTTTCTCTCTCCTAATCAAAATGGGTGAAGGGGAATGAATACATCAGGGGATGAGGGGGGAAGATTTCAGGGGACAGAGCTTTGAAGAGTGAGAGCAGCAGGAGGGGGGAAAAGGAGTCATTACCACATCCAGGGGGGACAAGGTCTCTAACAACTGTCATTGAATGGTGATGATGGATGGATGAAGTGGTATATAAGGATCTCAGGCATCTATTAAAAGAGGGCAAATAACAAAGTGCTCCACCCCTCCTCCCTCTAAGGAGACATCCATTTCAGAGGGATTTCTAAGTATTCTGCACTGGACTGAGGGGAGGCTGAAACTCTGGCTAGGACATCTCTGCAGGTGATAACAAGTTCTTGAACCGAAGCAGGGGATCTTAACCTGAGGTCCACATACCTCCGTGGTTTGTGGGTAGATTACAAAGGGGTCTGGGAACCTGGAGGGCAAAATCACAACTTTATATAACTGTATATTTTTTAAAATATATTTTTAAAAAATACATATTTTATTTTATTGTATTTAAAACCATTATTCTGAGAAGGGGTGCATGGGTATCAGACTGCCAAAAAAGAGACCATAGCCCAGAAAATTTAAGAACCCCTGAGGTGAAGGATTTATTCCAGGCCTGCCTGAGCTGGGCTTTGTACTTCCATAATTCTCCCCTCACTTCCTAAATTCCACTGCCCTGCTAGGTTAACTTTTGGAGCGAGCATCAGACGTAGGGTCAAAGGGTCTGGGTTTGTATCTCAGCTCTGAAGCTTACTGGCAGAGTGATTCCCCCCATCTGTGAACACATTTCCTCTCTCTCTTTCCCTCCCCTCACCTTCCTCTCCCCTCCCCCACTTTCTTTGTATTCCCAAGGCTTAGTACAATTTATTGTTCAGTTGTTTCACTCACTGTCCAACTCTTTGTGAACCCAATTGGGGTTTTCTTGGCAAAGGTACTCGAGTGGTTTGCCATTTCCTACTCCAGTTCATTACAGATGAGGAAACTGAGGCAAACAGGGTTAAGTGACTTTCCCAGGTCACATGGCTAGTAAGCATCTGAGATCAGGTTTGAACTCAGGTCTTCTTGACTCTAGGACCAAGGCTCTATCTACTGCTGCCCACTTTCTGTTGTGCCTGGTACGTAGTAGGTACTTGAAAAATGCCAGGTGACTGACTGAATCACCAATTAAGCAACAAATCCTCAGTCAAACACTTACTATGTGATAGACACAATACTAGGCACAGAGGATACAAGTATAAAGAAAGAAATTTCTAGTCACAAGCAGCTTACATTCTAAAGAAGTCGTGTGTGTGTGTGTGTGTGTGTGTGACAATCAGGATTATAAAACTATAGACAGCATCAATATCTTAATTGTAAAAAGAGAATATTACTACTAGCATTAATGGCCTCCAGGCCTGTTGTGAGAAAAAGTCCTTGGTAAATTGGAAATACTCCAGTGCTCTGAAGCACTGAGGTCCTAGAATATATTGGAAGCTATAGAAATGTGAGTGATTGTTATTCATTGTAATTCTGTCCCCACTGACTTCCTCCTGGGCTCAAACAAGTTATGCTTTCAAGTACTTCTGACATTCCCCACTTCTGCCAAGGGCATCACTAGCTTTGCGGGTACCCAGGTTCACAACCTCCTTGGTTCCTCACTTCAGATAATAACAATAATAAATTGCTATCATTCACGTGACATTTTCAGGTTTTTTACAAATGCTTTCCAAATGTCATCTCATTTGATCCTCACAACAGCCCTGGAAAACAAGTGCTATAATTATCCCCATTTTACAGTTGAGGAAACTGAGGCAGGCAGCCATTAAGTGACTTGCCCAGGGTCACATAGCTGGTGGGTGTGGAGGAGAGTTCTATTAAGTGTTTTCTATGTGTCAGGCATTGTGCTAAATGTGCTAAATGAAATATTATTTCATTTAATCCTTGAAATATCCCTGTGAAGTAGATGCTATTATCACCCCCACTTTACAGTTGAGAAGACTGAGTCAGGCAGAAGTTAAGGGTCAGTCAGTCAGTAAGTATTTAAGGCCAGATTTGAGCTCAGGTCTCCCTGAGCTCAACACTCTCTCCACTACTTTGTTGCCTATATCTTATCAATTGCCACACAATGTTCTTTCTTCCTCTTGAACACTTCTCGTATGTGTCCCCTTCTCTTCAACCACACAGTCACCACCCTAGGCTCATATCAATCCTCACCTGCACTGCTGCAGTAGCCTCTTATTTGTTCTCCTTGTTTTATGTTTCCCTTTTCCAATCTATTCTACACCATCAAAGGGACAAAATGAGTTTCCTAAATCATCTCTGACCATGTCAACTCTTCCCCATTCCATAAACTCCAGTGGCTCCCCATTACCCTCAGGTCAAAAATGAACCCTCTCTTTGGCATTTAGACCTCATTCTATAAACTCCAGGGGCTCCCTTTACCCTTGGGTCAAAAATGAACTCCCTCTTTGGCATTTAGACCTCTTTACAACATGGCTATATCCTACCTTTCCTGCTTCATTATCCTCCCTTTCATACACTCTTTAGTACAGTCAAACTGTCTTTCTTTACTGATCCTCAAACATGAAATTCTATTTCCTATCTTGCTTGGAAAATGCATTCCCTTCTTATTACTCACCTCTTGGAATCCTTGGCTTCCTTCAAGACTTGCCTTAAGCACCAAGTTGTGTTTGAAGCTTTTTCTGGCTCTCCAGCTGCTTGTGCCTTCCTCTCCATGGTTATCTACAGGCATTTGTATATGTCTGTATGTAGTGATGTTGTGTCCCTTATTACAATGTAAGCTCTTTGAGGACAGGAGACATTTTGCTTGTGTCTTTGTATCCCTAGCACCTACCTAGTACACTGCCTGGCACATGGTAAGTATTTAATAAATGCTTGTTGGTTGAGGGATCAATTGATTTGATGGCCACAGAATGCAAGCTTTGGCAGATCCTACCAAACTGGAGAGGGTTTGAGTTTGGGCTCAGTGACAGACTTGTGTATCTGTTAACAGTCTTGGGACCAGTCTACCTAAGAGTAGAGAGATTCATCACAGAAGAGTAGCCATCCAAGGGTGAATTGTTTCAGTCATATCAGTTCAAAAAGGCCATCTACAAAGGAGTGGAGGGGTTAGGCACCTTGCATGAGACTTCGTACACAGAAGGTACTTTATTAAATACTTGTTGAACGACATCACCCACATTAATAAAAATTATGGATCCTTCACATATTACAAGTCCATATTTTGTTGGATATATAGTGTCATCTTTGTAGGCACTGTCTTTACTGGAAAGAGATGATGATGATGATAATGATGAAGATTACCAACACCACCATTACTACTATAAACCTCTCTGGGACTCAGTTTACTCTACTGTAAAATGGTGAAAATAATACCTGCACCACCTACCGTGGGAGGGAAAGCACTTTGTAAACCTTAGGGGATCACAGGCTCATAGCTTTAGAATTGGAAGGCACCATAAAGCCTAATTAGCTTACCTCCTGCATTTTCACAAGTGAGGGGACTGAGTCCTTAATGTGCTACAGAGATAGGTGCTGTCATTACCTTCAGTGTGTTTGTTTTTCTCTCTTGCCTAGTGGAAAGGCTTTCATGAGACAGTATGGTACATTGGAATCATGCTAAATTAAATGTTATAAGACCCTGGTTCAATTTCTGACTATTGCTTACAACTTATGTTACCTTATTTAAACCTCTCTGGCCTCAAGTTTCTTTGATTGAAGAGTTTGGAATAGGTGACCTCTGAGGTCCCTGTTGATTTGAAATCTATGATCCATACACTTCCTGTGTCTGATCTCTTCAGAGCTTTTGAGGGGCAACATAGAACATTGGCCCTGGGATTTATGGCAGGAAGAGCTATTTCTGAATACTCAGTTACATTCAACTCTTACTGTCCAACGTACTGGGCAGAGGCAATGGAGCTGATAATCTGAAGTTGTCAATAATGCCAAAGTCATAGGATCATAGGGTTATCAATCTAGAGCTTGCAGACACCTTAGAGGTCATTAAGTCCAATCTCCCTCATTGTACCAGCGAAGAAGCAGCAGCTGTATTAAGTAACTTGCCTAGAGTCACACAGGCTAAGTGTCTGAGGCAAAATTTGAACCCCAGGTGTTCATGACTCCAAGTCTAGTTGGCCAGTCAACAAGCATTTATTAAGCTCCTACTGCATGCCAGGCATTGTGGTAAGAGCTGGAGATACAATAATAAACATAATCAGCCCCTGCATGATCTCACATTCTAATGGGGAAGATGAAATGTAAACAACTATATATGTTATTGTGGTTTAGTCATTCATTCGTGTCCCACTTTTCATGATCCCATGTGGGGTTTTAGTCTAACCCCCTTATTTTATGGAGCAGGGAACCCAGCAAGTGAGGTCATGTTGAGTTGTGTTCCTTGAGTTAAAAGCATCCAGTGATGGGGGTGGGGCATGGGGAGGGATATTGACTTTGACTTAAATTTGAGTTTTTAACTCAAGGAACACAACATTTTGGGTTAAAAGGACATCATGCATACTCAGAGGTGGGTGACAAGGAACGAGAGGGAGCTAAAAGCCATTAAAATTATGTTGAAGAAGTTGGGGATGTTTTGAGAAAGGAGACTAAGGGTCTTTGCAATACCTAAGGAGGTACTGTCCAGTGGAAGAGGGATTACTCTGTTTAACTTGGTCCCAGAGGGTAGAAATGGGAACAAAGGATTTGGGTGGGTGGGAGCTAGTCGTAGGGATGCAGGTATCAGCTCAACTTAAGGAAGGACTTCCCAACAATCGGAGCTGTCACAAGCGAGGTTGCCTCAGGAAGAAGGCAGGGGGACTCTCCTTTATGGGAAGTCCTCCCATGGAGGAAGCTGGGTGACCGATTTTTTTTTCCAGGTACATTATAGAAGTCATTGCTATTCAGGTACAATTTGGGTCAGAGGGCCTTTCCTACTCGAGATTCAATGGCTACAGTGTATTTCAGCCAAGTTTTTCCACGTGGAAAACTTTCTTCATGCAGAAGCCACACCTGGCTAAGTGAGGGCTGATTGCCTCGTCTCTCTGAGCAGCCGTGTGTCTCTGTGCGGTACAGTGTGAGCATGCTTAGGCATGAGACAGATCAGTTATGAAGAGAGACAGGAGCCTACTCTTTATCCCAATAACACCTCCTGAAGACCACCCTGAGCCTCCCTTGACCTCTCTGCAAGGCGACTGTTTTCCTCCTCCCTCCCTTGGGCCTGAGACATAAACTACTTGGCTCATTTGCTCCATTAGAAGGAGCTTTTGGGGTTGGGGCATTGGGCATGATCTAGAGCCTGATCTATGCAGGGTGGCCCCTGTCAGCAGTAGGTACCTTGGAGGCCAGGCCATGGGGCTTGGTATCAGGGGCTTCATCCCTCCAGAAGACCCCCAAGATATCTCCTCACTCTCTGAGTTCCCTGTTAAAACATGCCTCTGAAAGCTCCCTGGGGAAGGCCCAGCCTCCTTCACCACTCCACCTTTCCCCTACCCCCAGCCTTTGGAAACAAGGGCCTTTGGAGGGAGGATGGAGGGAGATGCTTGGGGCCCTAGAGAAAAAGTGATTGAAGGCTCATGGGCAAGGACTTCACCTAATTGGGAGCAGTAGCAGTGGAGTGGCATTCCCACAGTAATCTTAGCAAGTGCTCCTAATAGACAGTCCTCACTAATCGAGAGAGAGAGAGAGAGAGAGAGAGAGAGAGAGAGAGAGAGAGAGAGAGCAAGAAGGGGAGGGGGAGGGTATACATCAACCAGGCAATTGCCAGGTCTCTTTCTCAGGCTCTGCTCCTGTCTTGCCTCAGTGAGTTTAAGCTCATCTGCTATTTTGAATGTGTCTCCTAATGAACCGAGGCTAAGCTGAAGGAAGGTCTCTGGGCCAGAGGGAGGGGCAGGGAAGGGGGGCAGGCGGGGGTGGGGGGGGAGTGGGGAAGAGAGCAAAGCAAACTTTAATCTGTGGATGTTCTAAAGTCACAGAGTCAGGAAGCACTTACTATACACTTGCTGAATGACGGGGACCCCTCTCCAAGGAGGGCTTCATATGGAAAGATGGCTTCTATCTCCAGGATGGCCTCCCAGGGAAGTGGCTCTCTTTGGGGCTCTCAGTCCTACCTACTATCTAAATTAAGGAGTATGAACTAGTAAACCTTTCAGGGTCCCTTCCATTATCCTGTGATTCTGTGGGGTGGAATAGTGGATAAAGTGCTGGTCCTGGAATCAGGGAGAGTCAAGTTCATATGCAACCTCAGACACTGGGTGATGCTGGGCTAGTCATTTAATGGCTGTCTGTCTCAGTTTCCTCATCTGTAAAATGGGTATAATAATAGCACCTACCACCCAGAGTTGTTACGAGGATCAAATGAGGTTAATATTTGTAAAGGGCTTAGCAAACTGTAAAGTGCTTTATAAAAGCCAGCTATTACGATGGTGACGGTGAAGATGCTGGTGATTTCAGTGGTGACAATAGTAGTGACATAAATTAATTCCATTCTAGGCTGGATCTCTATAATGGATCTCTAGCCAACCCTCTGCCCTTTCTCAAGGGTTCTGCTTAAACTTGTAGCATCTCATGCATAGTCTGGTTATTCTAGCCCTTGCCCTGGCACGGGAACAGAGTTGAGGATTTAATGACAGAGAAGGATCAAAAGGGGACCACAAAATCCCAGGGCTGGAAGAGACTTTAGGAGTCACCTACTCCAACCTCTCATCTCTTTCTATGGAGGAAAGGGGCCCTGTCTTGATGTCTAGATCAATCTGGCCCCTTTGGCTAATGTCTGATCTTGATAACCCCAGCCCTGACCTCCAGGAATTGGAAGCAGGACTAGAGGAGGGGGCAGAGATAGAAAGGAGGGTGGAAACATTGGGATTGGCAGCAGGTTGGGCAGGTCCTACCTTGTTGCATCAGGGAGCCCATCCCAAACCAGAAGCTGTTGAGTAAAGTGAAGTTGTTCTCCACGATGTCTGAGCCAGGGTTACAGGGGTGTGCATCATACCATTCATAAGGGCTGAACCTGTGGAGGAGAGGGGAGAGGGGAGCTGTGAGACTGAGAAAAGAGGATGGGAGATGGTTTGGGAAGGGGGCTCAGAGAAACACAGGGAGGAGTGGTGAGCTAAGGCATGAGAAGGGGACAAGTTACTGGATGAGCACCTAACACCTCCTACATTAACAGCACAGAACTGGACCAAGCAGCCCAATAGCTGGTTAAAGGCTATGATAAGGGAATGACAATTACAAAACCAATGACTCAGAACTCTATTTACAATCATGATCAGAGTGAAAGCTAAGCCTCAAATCCTGGAGTAACAGCATAAAAGTGTTGTCTGAGGCTGAGTACCTCCTACAAAATACAAAACTTGAGATTCAAACGTGTTTATGGACATTCAAATACCCTAATGGCCATAAGGAAAAGAGAATTGGCCAACTATCCTAGTATGACTTAAAATAAACCAATCAGCAGCCTTGAAGACAGCCATGCAAAGGGAAATCAAGTTAGTGGCTTGGCCAACTTTCTTTTCACGATAGCCCATGAGAGTGTGCTGGCCCTTGAGCCAGGACCCTGCTCCCAGGGGTCTTCCCTTTCTCTCACTGAGTTAATAGTTTCATAGCTGCAGAGACACATCCCCTCAGGATCCCAGACTCGCTTGAGCAGTTGGATCCAAGGCCTAATTGGTGTAATTGCCTTCAAGCCAGATGGGCTAATTATTGTCCCCTTTTCCTCCCTCAGGAGAAGCCTGGGAGTTCAGTGATAAACCTGAGTCTGGCTCTGTTCCCTGCTGCCATCTTGCCCCATCGCCAGAGGAGACTTAGGGTTGGTTCTGGGGCAGAGACTTAAGAGAAGAGTGGAATCTCTGAGATCAGCCTCCAATCAAAAGAGGACAGAGGTCAGGGTGGGATCTTTGAAGGCTACCTGGGGTTGGGGTTTGCGCTATCAAGTCAAGTCAAAGAACATTTAATGAGCACCTACTATGTACCAGGCACTGTGCTAAGCACTGGGGACACAAAGAAAGGCAAAAACAAACAAAACTCCCCTGGTACCCCCCCACACACATACACACACAGAGCCTTGGAGATAGACAGCCAGCTTGGCAATACACCTCCCCCACAATCCCAGAATCATAAGAATGATCAAGTCACAGTCACAGGCTACTAGGTTTGGCCTCACTTTCTCAGATAGACACTTCCTGCCAGGGAGGGGAGTTCCTAGCGTCCCAGCTGCCATATCATATGAAAATGGGGCAAGCCTGTGGGTCCCAGACAATCATGGAGAGTAAGAATAGTGGGGTACAGTGGAGAGAGTACTGAAATTTCCCTTTAAACTTGGAATCATGGGGAATACATTTGTACCCCACCTCAGCTACTGACAGTCTGGGTGACCTCAGGCAAGTCACTTAATCCCTCTTGGACCTATTTTCCTCATCTGTAAAATGAGAGCATTGGACTCTGGATGAATTTTGAGGTCCTTTCTTACTTTAAATCAAAGTTGGAAGGGACCTCAGAATCCAATACCCCTCATTTTAGAAGTGGGGAAACAGACCAAGAGAGGTTAAGTGATTTGGCCAAAGTCATACAACTATTATTAAGCAGTGGAGCCATTCTCTGAATCTAGTTCTCCCACCAGGCCCACATTTCTCCTTTCCTTTCTCCTAAAGCCTAGAGAGATGAAAAAATTGCTTTAAGTTAGTTCTCTTTCTTCTATTAGACTGTGAACTCCCAGAAAGCGGGACTGGCTTTTTCTTTCTTTGTCTTTCTTTGTATCCTGTGTGCTTAGCACAGTACCTGGAACACAGTTGATACTTAATAAATGCTTGTTGATTTGACCTGACTAGAACACAGTCTGTAAGTCCAGTAAGTCTTCCTGAATGAGAAGTAGCTTGTATCAAAGACCATCTAGTAGAAAGGATAAGAAACTATTATAGTTCTGCGTGAGATAAGTAGTTAAAGGTTTGTTATCTTCCTTCATTAGACTAGCCAACTGAGGCACAGAGGCCATCACTTCAGGGTCAAAGCTGGGAATCAAAACCAGGTTCTTTCCCTTCTATCAGCCTTACAACTTCCTGTTTGTCCTCCCTAGATGGCCACTCATTCCACAGCCTCTGCAACCTTTCTTTCAGGAAGTCTTCTTGGATTGTTCCTTTGGGAGGTACTCTCTAAGATGCCCCACTAGATTGGGAGGTAAAAGGCCAAGAGTGTTTTAGACTGGTTTATGGTAGAAGGATATTGACATGAAGTCAGGAAAGGGGAAAATCAGCTTCCAGGATCTTGGGGGACAGGGGAAAGGAAAGAGACAGGAGGGAGGGATAGCGAGGGAGGGATAGAGAGGGAGGAAGGAGAGACAGAGACATAAAGAGACAGAGACTACAGGCTGGCACTGCTTATATTACAAGGAATACTTAAGACAATTATCAAGTTGCCAGAGAGTGTCTCCAGGGCTTTCAAAGGCTTGTGGGTTCGTTAAAGAGACAAGAGGCATAATGAAGGATCCCATTACAAGGAACCTCTTTGGGTGTAACAACAGGGCTAGCTTCTTGGGGAGGGTTGTAAATGCTAAGGCTGAGGTCCAGGCCAGAGCTGGTCTCCCCTCTTCAGAGCTGGGACGCTTAGAGCAAAAAGCCTTGCTGACCAAGGACTGTCTCTTCTGGAATGGCTCTTTCTTTTGGTCTATGTGTAGGGGTGGTGGATGGGGGTGGGGTGGGTGGGTGGGTAAGCATTTCAAAGAAAGCTCCAAAGAGAAGACCCAAACGTGAAATTCTTAGATCTCAAATTACCTCTCCAGAGAAAGCTCTGACGAAGGACTTGACACCTCCTTGGAGCTTTAAAGGAAAGAAAGGGGCAGGAAAGGAAAACCAAGAGCCTTTTGGAAAGATGTGGGGGATGACAGTGAGGAACAGATGGAGGAGGCTGAAACAACACACGGGTGCTCATTGACAGCTCATAGTTCCTGCTCTGCCCCAAATGACTCAAAACCAGGAAGATGACTCAAGAGCTGAAGCCTGGCCCTGTTCTCTGCTCAGTTCCCCAGGGGCTTAGAGAAGGGTTTCAAAGAGGAAGGTCAATACTTTGACTCCAGAAAGAATACTGAGGTTGGCTGTCCTGACTTTAGTCCAAGCCATGACATATAATAGCTGTGGGACCTCCCTGTGCCTCAATTTTCTTTTCTGTAAAATTGGCATAATAGCCTTTGAATGAACTCCATCACAGGATTATTACGGGCAAAACATTTTGCAAACCTTTTGGTGCTTTAAAAATAACAATTATTACCATGATTATCATCTTCTCATATCTTTTGATGGAATTCAGATAGAAATAATCCTTGGGCAAATTGCTATCCTACTATTATTCCTTGTATTTAATATTAATAATAATATGTAATTAACAATATAAATAGATCACTAAAACAACTGCTTTTTGTAGTTTTTTTCCAAAGGATTCATATTTAAGCTCATCCTCTATAGGCACCTTGAAAAGGTCTTTGCTACAACTGGTTGTAAAACAGGACCCTGGGGATGATATGCACTGTATCCTATTCTCTGTATGCTTCTGACCTTCTCTGCTAGGTCTCTATATTTTGAAAACCATTCATTCTATGTAGCTTGGTGATTATGAATGTTTGGTGTGGTGATATCTATTAAAAACATCCTTCTTAAGCTTTTATGGTCAATGTCATGATTAGGCAATTATGGGCAAGAGCTTAGTCTTTGATAATGGTCCAAACTGAGTACAGTTTAGGGTGAAATTCTCCAACATGTTTCAAAGTCTACATTTGTAGAATGGGAATGTCACATATCAGTCAATGAAAGATAAAAAGTTTCTGATATACAGTTCTAGTTAACAGGTCACAAGTTGCTAGGTATTGAGTATGTGCTAATTATTTACAGTCTGTGGTAATATGTAGATAGTTTTACCATTTCTTTGATTAACCTACATTGGTCCCTGGATCTGGACTTCTTAAGGATAAACCTGATGTTAATTCCAGGTGATAATGAACTGATCCTGAATCGTCATTGTAAACCTTTTTGTTTTTATAAACATCCACATAATTCAGCCGCCTGTTCAATGTTCCATCATTGAAATATTGCTTGTTCATGTGGATGTCATCCAGGGAGAACCTTTTGATTCCAGTCTTTGATGTTAGCCTTTTCATAGAATCCATCCAGTGGTAAATAATGTTCAGTTATATTTGACAAACCTAATATCATGAATTTGCTATCAGCCTTTATTATTGCTTATTGAAATGATGTTTTCTTGTTCCAAAAGTATTTCTTTAGGTCTTCTACTAGTTTGTCAAGTACTCTAAGGATGCCTATAAACCTCCTTCCTCCTTTCTGGTGAGGAAGTATTAATCTTTCTATAGCTGCCTTAGGGTTGTGTGTTTCAATAATATCATCTAGGGTTTTGTGAGAATACTTTCCAAATCTATTATTGTATACTTTATAGTTCCAAGAGTATATATCAGCCTGGTCTTGCATATATGTTCTTACCATACATCTTTATTTTGGAATGCTAATAAATCTCTTAATACATTCAAACCTAGGCTTCCCTTTGAAACCTTTATGTCTGATGTTTCTTGTCTGGATGAGACCAAGGTATTTGTAGGTATCACCTTCAATCATTTGTTCAATGTGACTTCTAGATTTAAGCTTGAAGCCTTCAGTCTCTATTTTTCATTGGAACATATTATAATTTTTGCATTTTGGGGGGTCCAGGGGAAATTTTTGTATCATTGAACAAGATTCAATGAGCTGAAGTTGCTGTTTAATGTGTTTTTCAGTGGAACTATGTAGCTTGACATCATTCATATTACCCCGTGATTATTAAGATGTTTTGTTTCAACTTCTCCCTTAATTTGGAGACTATATTTAGTACTATTTACGATAAAGAATAATATATCTAAGGCCAGGCAAACCTAAGTGGGCTTAATTGGTTTCCTCCTCAAATGCCATGTTTTATGTCAGTTGTTATCGACATTATTGTGTTGATAATGTGTTTTTATAGAGAAAACAGTTTTCCACATGGTCATCAAATGCTACAGTTCTCACCATACTTGGATCTATTTTATATATTTGCGTTATATGAATAAACCATAAGTATACAACTGAATCAAAGGTTCTGAGATAATTAACAAAAGGAGTATAAACCTCATGACACTTTGGGGCAGCTTGTTCCATAACTACTGAAATGGTAATAAGTTACTCTTTATACCCTCTGGGACTTTTTGACATACTCTTTTTGTTCCTTGGCCAATATATTATTTTCTTGTATTTATAGATTTTTTTTAAGTGGTGCAAACTGTAAATGCTTTTTATGAAGTGCATAAGAATATAATTGACCTGCATTGAAAGGGGTCCCTGGTGTTCTCATCTTTTAATAAAAAGATATGTACTTCTTCTTGTTAAGGATGAAATAAATCATTTTTAAAAGCATTTATTAAGCACTTACTACATGCAAAGCATTGTGCTAAGTGCTGGGGATATCCAAAGGGAAAAATGGAGACAGTCCCTGCTCTCAAAGAGCTCCCTTTCTAATGGAAGAGATGACACATACAGGAGGTTTCAGCTCAGATGGCAAGATCTCATGGTTATTAGTGTGCAGCAGCAAAGCAATTGGTAATGCATCTTACTTAATGTCATATAGGCTGATCAAATGATATCTGTTTCTGATGTTGAACCAGTTGACAGGAGTTTGGTGGTAGGAACTCTCTTTTCTGAGTCTTCAGTAGCTGTGGTTGCTAAGGAGGCAAAGGTTGTAGCATTTTCAGAAGCAGTGACCAGGTCACATCTCCAGGTTGGTTGCTTTCCAAGATTGTGGCTGAGTAAGCTGGGTTGGAAGCAGGACTGGTGGTGTGAATGGCATTGCCATTCCCAACAGTCTTGGGTTTTGGAATGTCTCCATCAGAGTCACAGGGCAGGTGGTGGTGGTTTAATTTGATTGGCACATGCTTTCTCCCTTCTCCCTCAAGGTGCCTTATTGCTTCACTGGAAAGCAGGCCTGGTGGAATCAAGGCTGCATCTGAAAGGCAGCTGGTAAAATTCTGTCATTTGCCACCGTGAAATGTTTGCTCCAATAATTGTAGATCTTATACGGTCTAACCACTGTGCAGTTTTGCAAAGACGCTAGAGTTCTAGTCACCTCTCTTACAAGAACAGTTTCATTATTCATTATATTGGTGATGTGAAAGTTGTCTGGTATTTGTTTGATCCATCTTGAATTTCCATGGTTCTAGAATTCTTGTGATTAGGGAGATAATTGGAAATTTTCCATATCTTCTTCCCACTAGGATTTTTGTTGCTTTACTTCTCAAGCCTCTGTATTAAAGTCTTTGACTGATGTTGAACTTTTATTTTGTTTCGTTTTCTAACTGCTTTTACTACTTGTACTACCTTAACTTTTAAACTTTTATAAAGGAATTTCAAATTTCTGATATCCTTTTGCTTTCTGGGTTCTCTTCCATGTGTTTCATTTTCTTTTTGCCTTTAACTGAGCAATATAATCATACTAATAGCTAGCATTTATGTAGTACTTTAAAGGCTTTAAAATATTATCTCATTTGAACTTCACAATAATTCTGGAAGGCAGGTGCTATATTATCCCAATTTTACAGATGAGGAAACTGAGGCAGGCAGAAATTAAATTACCTGCCCAGGATCACACAGCTGGTCTTGGGCTAGATTTGAACTTGGGTTTTCTTGACTTCATGTCCAGCACTGTATATACTGCAACACCTAGATGGCTAAAAATATGAACATGACATTCAAAATTTCTAGTCCATGTACCACCCAGATATTGTTGTGATTTTCCAGTTCCTTTTCACAGATCTTTAAGGGCTTTCTCAAGTCACTTCTACCATGGTAGTGTTGGATGCCTGTATTTCTTGATGACTTTTCCTCCTTGGTTTTTTACTGTGGTAACAGCTGCCATGTATACCACTATGTACAGATGCTAAAATGTCTTTAAATTTCTGTCAAAGACTATGGGAGAATGAGTTTGCTCATGATGGTTATACCAGACATTAGTTTAAAAAAATTATTCTGATTTAGTTTGTTAGTTGGATTCATGGTGTCAAACTCAAAAAGGACTTTTCAGAATTCCAATCATAGGATGCACATTTCCTTTTCAAAATTACATGATCAGGACTTGGTCATCCTTTTCTGTATTAGTTATAATTTCTAAAGCTTGCATTAAATGAAGATCTTTAATGACTTCAAGGTCTTCAGCTGCTCCTTCTTCATTTTATCTTGCATTTTGTCCAATCTAGGCTTGGGAATGAAGTTAATTTTTATAATTTCCCTACACTAGACAGCAGTACGCTGTTGTGTGACTTGTAGATGAGGGCACCATTGACAGAAAGCAGTGCCTTGCCTAATCCTGGTGACACCTGTTACCTGTTTGTTTTTAATATACCACTGGCAGATCACATCTTCCATGATTTGCTAGCTTTAGTGGTCAGAACCGTGCGTGTGTGTGTGTGTGTGTGTGTGTGTGTATGTGTGCGTGCGCACGTGCGCACATGCTCGAGTTGACTTCTCTTTAGAAAAGCAGAGGTAGTGCGCTAAATTGGAAAGAGTACTTAAATGTTTTCAGCAGTCAGGGCACTTACTGGTATTCCTGGTTGGTTTTGATGAATCTTGCCTTTTTCTGGTACCAGAAGGTGAATGTATGCTTAGATCTTTAGTGTCAAGCTGATCATTGCAATGGTTTTTGAGCAGGGCCACATTTCAACCTTATGTTCCCCAGGCATTTCTTCACAGGACAGTTCCATCACACTAACTAGGTTGCGGACCCAGTAGGAGCCCAGAGCTACCAGGCCCATCCAGGTACTATACTGGTCTCAGGGAACAGAAAGTGCTCCCTATACATGACCCTGACTGGCTTTTTGTTACTTTGCTATTGATCCCCACCCCCCTCCCATCCCAACCTCACAACATGAATGATGGGTTGGGCTTTAAGAGGTATTATTATTATTATTCCAGACAATATATGAAAAGTATCTGCAGATTTGGGTTCTGGGCCCTGGACTGGTCTGAAATGCTAACCATTATCCCACCTGCCCCTATACTTTCCCTCTGGCCCTTTAGGATCTGGACTAATATTGGCCCTCTGAGCCTTGGGATTCTTGTCATATTGGGATTAAAAAAAACACCCCAGGGGCCATTTATTTATCTGTCAGTGTGTCTCATTCTTGCCCTAGGCTTGAGATCAAAGTCAAGGGGACTCTCCTATAGGAGCCAGATGAAGGGGGGTGGGGGAAAGTGCCAAACCTATCACTTGCCTGGAGGAGGAAGAAAGTTCAAGGTCATGTCCAAGTGTGAGCCAGATGTGCTGGAACAGATGAGGGAAGCAGCAATGGCCCCTGAAACAGTGCAAGGTCTCCAAGGTCAGAGGTATGACTTGGACAGAATTGGTTTCCAGAAAAGACCCACAAAAAGACAGTGGTTCCCCTCTGACAAGGGTGAGATTGAGAAGTCTTCTACTTAATCCCTAGGACCTGAATTGTCTCTAAGATACAGGTCTGAGCTCCAGTATTTTCAATTCCCTTGACAGGGTTTTCTGTGAAGGGACTGGGTTAGTTCCAGGAGGGGCATTACAGTCTAGCTTTCTTGAATTCCTTCTGACCTATTTGCCTCCCTTAGAATTAGAGTTGGAAATATTTTAAGAGCTCAAAAGGAACTCAGAGACCATCTGGTCCAAACCTCTTATTTTGCATATGGGGAAACAGAGGCTCAGAGGTAAAGTGACTTACCTGAGTATACATAGTGAAGGGTTTTGTTTGTCTGTCTGTGTGTGTGTGTGTATTTTGTTTCCATCTCTTTATAAGATTAGAAGTAGTAAAGTATACAGTGTAAAGAATGCTGGACTTGTAGCCAGGAAATCTGAGTTAGAATCGCTACTTTGCCATTCAGTATCTGTGTGACAGGGAAAATCATTTATCTTCTCTGAGCCTCAGTTTCCCTACCTCTAATATAAAAATGTCTGTATTGAAAACAGCTAGCATTTATAGAACACATTAAGGTTTGCAAAGCACTTTACATGTTGTCTCATTTGATTCTCATAACAACTCTGGGAGGTAGGTGCTGTTATTATCTCCATTTTACAGATGAGAAAACTGAGGCTGCAAGAGGTTGAATGACCTGCCCAGAGTTACACAGCCAGCAAAGAGCTGAGGCAGGATTCAAACTCAAGTCTTTCAGATTCTGAGTCCAACTCTATCTCTTTCGTATTGCCTACCTCAAAAGATTTTGGTGAATTTCAGATTAGGTAATGCAGTTAAAGGGTTTTCTAAACCTCTAAACCTATGTAAAAGTCAGCTATTATCATGTAAGAGCAGACAGGGCACAAGCTCGCCTGACAGGGCTCAATAATGACAGTGATCTTCTCCTCAGTTATGATGATGAAATGGGCACTACGTGGGTGTTTCCAACTCAGGCTCTACATGACATCCCACCTGCCACATCTTCTTAGAAATTAAGATGCCTCCTGTACTCCCTTTCCCAGATCCCCAGGCCCTGTGATCATGGGAGGGAAGCTCAATAACATCACTATTGTTTTCTACTACACAAGGGTCCTTCACATACTCGAGTTAATTCAGAGCTAGAGCTGGGATCCCTGACCCTTTGATCCTCAGGTTGTATGCCTAAAGGAGGCTACGGCATGTGCCAGGTAACCTAATTCTCATTTGGTTGATGTGTTTCATATCTTCTGGCATCAGGGACCCTGTCACACTGAGACATGATTGGGAGTGATGATAGTTGTCTAAAGGAAGGCAGTGTGTTGGTTAATAAGCAACCACTGAATAGTGCCCAGAATTATGGAACCTCAAAGTAAAGGAGGTCAGAGGTCATCTTGTTCATCCCTCAGCTGAAGCATGAATCCCCTCTATAGCTTCCTAGCATATGCTCATTAAGTTTTGTTCAAACTCCTTCAGTGATGAGGAACCTACCAGCTTGCCAGAGAACTCATTCCATTTTTAGGAAGCCTTACTTCTTCAATTAAATTTGATAGGCATTTTTGCAATTGGCTGATGTAGGGCTTGGAGTCTGGGAGAGTCAAATTCAAACCCTGCCTCACACACTTCGTAGCTGAGTGACTCTGGAAGAGTCACTTACCCTCTGTCTGCCTCAGTTTCCTCATCTACAAAGTGAAGGGGTTGGATAAATGGCTTCTAATGTCCCATTTGATTCCAGATTTATGATTCTATTATCCTTTGCCTATTATGTTCAAAGTGCTGTCCTGTGTGTTTGGGATAGAAATACAGAAATGAAACAATTCCTGCTCTCAAGGAGCTAATAGTTCTTTGGATGTTAAGCCTAAATCTGCCTTTTCCTATCTTTCTCTTTTTGTTCCTGGTTCTGTTTTCTAAAGCCAAGCAGAACAAGTCTATTCTTTTTTTCTTCACAACAGTCCTTGACAGCTATTAGGTCCCCACTAAGTCTTCCCTGATCTAGACTAGGCATTCCTAGTTTCTTCATTCAACTCTTGTAGGACCCCCAGTTCCTTCCCAATCCTGTCTGCTCCCTGTGCTAAGACCATTCATCCTAACCCTGTCCTGACATTCACTAGTACTTACCTGAAGGATCTAGGAAGGTGAAAAGGCTCTGGCATTGGAATTGGTTGCATTGGTTGAAGGCAAGAGCTATGGTGGGTGTACTTTTGACCTCGGTCAGAGACATGATCTCTTCATGACCTCACTAGACATTACTCTCCCTGGATACTTTCAGTAAGACCTCCTTTCATAAACTCCTATACAAGCATATTTCTCCTTTAATTACCTAAGAGATACCTTCAGACCCTGATCTAATTCCAAGCTACCCCATTCCCTAACCTCACCAACAAAAACAGAGAACCCTTAACTCTACCAGATGCTTCCTTTCCTGGCCTTGATTCACAGACACCCCTCTCCCTTGATTCCCTGACCCTATCTTTCTCCCTGGACTCATGACCAAGCAACTATATCCTTGGCTTCGGTAGACATCAATGCTCCCATTGTCTTCCCCAAACTTCAGTCTCCTTGCTGTAGACAGCTCAGAGATTTTCTTATTCCTGACCCTGAACCTACAGCATAAGCACTAGGGGTCAATTGCTTTGCTCTCTCCTAGCCTCTCTAAGAAGATTCTTCCTGTCTGTGTGCTAACATCATCACTGAGAAGACTTCAAAAGCATGTGATATTCCCCTCCCTTCTCACATTGCTCTTACAAGGTAGCAAGACCCAGCCCTGGGTTGAAGTCTTGTGGCTTCTCTTGAGTTAGCAAAGTGGCAGGAGATGGGCATGACATGCAGTTGACAGATTGCTGTTGCTCTGTGGAGGGGCCGGGGAGGTGGGGTTGAAGTAATGGCTGAGAGGCAGCTTGAGGTGGCTGCTTTGCCTCTGATGGGCAATTGTGGGGAGAAACAGAGGTGTGGAGTGGGCAAGCAAACATGTGGATTGTGCATGTGTGCTAAACCATATAATGTGTGTGTGAGTACACATGAACACATACTCATAAATACATGCGTGATGTGTGCATGGGTGCATGGGTACGTGATTACTTGTGTATGTGGCACCAGGTTCCCTGTATGCTGTGAGGGTTCTCTGACTGAAGTTAAATCTCACTGGCCCTTGTACACCTAATGCAATCTCAGCATTGCAGTGGAACTTGGTTGCCCCTGGCAGCACTAAGGATGATCAGCTCCTAAAGGTTCCATCTTTAGTTGTCAACTCAGCTCTCCTTTGAATGGCATGGATGGTCCTCATCACTGAGACAGAGCCTAGAGTTGCTGGAATTCAATGTTTTGGAAACAGAGTCTGGGGTCATGGATCATCCTGAGATCTGAAGGTCAATGTCAATTCCCAACTCTTAGAAGTTCCCAGAGGCTCTGACAAGGAGAGGGAGCAGAAAGTCCTTGGGGTTTGGGCCTGGATCTGATGCTTATGCAATAAGGATGGTACAGAGGCAGTTTTCATAGTGGAAAACTAAGGCAGAGAGGGAGATAGTCTGTCCAAAGTCACATGGTAACTTTTTAGGTGAGGGTATAGGGATACAACCTAGATATCTTGATTCTGAGTCAAAGATTTTGTCTCCTGACCCATTTCGTGCCCTCTTCCCACAACTCCTCATCAGCACAATATGGCCCCATGTCTCATATGAAGCTGAACATAATGGATGATGCAAACCCCACTCCCCGCCATACACACACACCACTACCATCCCAACCCACAAAGCTCTAAAGGCTCCCTTACCTTGCAATGACGAAGAGAACACAGCTGACACCCAGATAGGCAAGAAGGACATACATCCAGATATCAGGAGACAAGGGATTGAGGAAGGAGAATACGCCAGGATTGGTGCCATTGGGTTTCCGGTACAGGATACTGACGCCGAGGGTCATGAAGGGCTTGGAGAAGTCAATGGCTTTTTCCCGGATGTGAGTGATGGTCAGAGGGGCTACAGCCAGGTCTGCCTTCTGCATGGAGTTGGGGAGAGACATGGAAGGAAACTTTGAGATACAGAACCAATCAAGGTTTGGAAAAAGGGCAATGGGATATTGCTTGGGGGAGCCTGTGGAGACCCTTTTCTGAGAGCCCTATAGCAGGGGAGGAGGCAGTGGAGGTCTGAGCCCTGGTGGCCTGGCTTTTTGAAGAGAATTCAGCTAGTTCAAGAGGAGTGAGAGTATTTCCTTCTATGGAGAGGACATTGAGGAGAGAAACAGTATGGAAGGCATGCTCGATTTGGAGTCAGAGGGCCTGGGTTTGAATCTTGTATCTATGACACTGCTTGTGTGACTTTGGGTGAATCACATAACCTAGACTTTTTTTTTTCTCATCTGTAAAATGAGGAGGTATCTAAAGTCCCTTCTAGTTCAAAAACTATGATCTTATTACCTCTGGGCCCATTCTCATGGCAATTAATATACTTGAATTCCCACAGAGGAATACTGCTTTTCCAGGGGTTTATTAGGCAAGCCATACCTTTCCTGAGCAGTAGTTCACTGCCCTGGCCAGGAGCAGGACACACATGCTCAAAACACAGAGAGGAAGGACTAGCCACCTGGCATTGAAAGGACAGGGCTCCTCAGGAAGATTATTCAATTGTGAATTCACTCAATTTAATTAGAGAAACATTTGTTAATCACTTGTATGTGTAGGAGTCTGTGTTTAACCTGAGGATACAAAAATGAAGTAAGAAACAGACTGCACTCAAGGAATTTACAATATAATGGGGGTGGTGGGAACATGTTACGTAGACAAGTAGGAGGCTAGGAAGAGTAAGGACAGAGAAGTGATTTATGCAAAGTCCTAGACGATTGAGGAGGGAAAGATCACTTTCAATTGGGAAAGGCAGTGTGGCAAGGACAGCTTCCTACAGGAGGTGTTTTTGGAGTTGGTCTGGAGGGACTTCAGCAAAGGTTGATGGGACAGAGTAGAGGGAGTTCATCTCAGCCATGAGGGCAGGGCTGCTGGGAGCAAAGACATGAGGTTATAACAGGGAAGCCAGTACATGATGAGTAACACAAGGAAATGCTTGAGAGGAAGGCTGGAGTCAGACTGTGGAAGCTCTTGAATGAGTATTGAGAAAAGAATCCTGGATTTTGAATCAGAGGGCCTGAATTTGAATTCTGACTGCCATTTACTAGTTCCCTGTGTGACTTTGGGGGCAGACCCTTAATCTATTAAGGTCTCAGTTTCCTTATCTGTAAAATTCAGAGGTTTTTTGTTTTTTGTTTTTTAAAGATTATGTTTAAGGTCCCTTCCAGTTCTGAGAATCCAGGATCAGTTTATACTTTATTCTATAGGCAATGGGGAGTTATTGAAAGTTTTTGAGCAGGAGACTGATGTAACCAGAAGAGAGTAATTAAATTGCATGTTCTTAGACTCACTTCCATGGAAGGGCAGCCATATATCTAGGGTTATAGGTGGGTCTTGGAATGCAGGTTGCCCAGATATGTGCGGTGCCATTTTGTGGTAATGTTAGTTCAGGACCGCAGACAGCTCCTAATTGTCCTCCTACAGCTCCAGGCTGCAGAAGTCAAATTCCTGACACCTTTCCTGTTTAATATCTACATCACAGTCTCACCACCCGCTTCAGGCCTGGCCTCAGCCCTGCTCTATGACTTGGCCTTTGACTTGTCATATTGAGAATGATGGAGTGGAAAGAGTGGGCCTGATTTAAATCCTCCCTTTGGTGTGTGACCATGAAAAACTTCCTTAGTTTCCTCATCTGTAAAATGGAGCTAATATCTGCAGTGATTACCTCCTAGGGTTATTGTGGGATTCAAATAAGATAATGTTTAAAAAGTTATTCACAAATTTTGGAGCCCTATACCAATGTCAGTTATTATTATTATTGTATTACAGTCCCATCAAGCCTCAGGGGTTCCAATGAGATTGTATTTACTGCCTTGTGTTAAAATCTTTTGTTTATGACCCACAGTTGGCACATTGGTTTATGGATGTTGGAGGCCATAAGTATTTTCCCTGACCCTTATTCCTTACTGTGAATTACTGGCCTCTACCTCCTCCATTATTTGTCTTTCTTTGTCACACCTCATGTCCTAGACAGTAGCTAGCTTTGCAGTTTGATCTGGCCATTTTCCTCCTCTATCTTCTAAAGTCTTCTTGCCTAGATTAGCAAGTCTCTGGTCAAATACTTTCTCCCCAATATTTGTGACATATGCTGTGTGCCCAGACAGAAGTTTTCCATTTTGACATTTTAAGTTATGGCCCAGGAAACTAAATTTCCTACTTTGATATGTCCTGAAAACTGCCCTTGACAGGAAAACAGAGAGAAAGGATGGAGGTAAGAAAATACCAGAAAGTAGAGACTAGGTGGATTGGAAATAAATTCTGCTCATGCCACAATTTGCCACAGGCTTGTTTTGCTTCTTGGAGCAGCATCTGAGCAGATGTATATCCATGCCATACAGCTGTGACTACTGTTTGTTTAGCTTTGAAGAGATAAGGAGGTAGCTAAGGTGGTTGGTGGATAGAGTGCCAGGCTTAGAGTCAGGAAAACCTGAGTTCAAACATAGCTTCAGACAATTACTAGTTGTGTGACCCCGGGCAAGCCACTTAACCCTATTTGCCAAAGTTACCTCATCTGTAAAATGAGCTGGAGAAGGAAATGACAAACCACTACAGCATCTTTGCTGAGAAAACCCCAAAAGAGATCACAAAGGGTTGGCCATGACTGATAACAACAAAGGACCAGAGAAAGATAAAGGAAAGGATAGGAACCCTTTCTGATTGAATTGAGAGAATAACAGATCACAGAGAGAAAGCAGAATTTTAAAATCCCTATTTTGCCTCGACTTTTGCTACCAGGGAGACTGATCTTTATACCAGGAATTACCAAAGAAAAATATTTACACAGGGACTCAAAAACCAAGAAGAATGAGAAGACTGAAGGGGAATCATAGAGCTATCCTTGATGAGTGCAAGTCATGAATTCCAGACAAATTTCATCCCAGTATACTGAAAGAAAGTGGCTGATGTGATTGCTGAGGTGCTGTCAGTGATTCGGAAAAATCACAGTGAATGGAAAAGGGCAAATAGTCTAATTTTCAAAAAAGAAAAGAAGACGAATACTTCAGCCTCTAGGCTGGTGAGCTTGACATGGATTCTGGGTAAAATTCTCAGATGGACTATGAAAAGGGTTGATTGTGAGCACTTAAAAAGGGTTCAGAAGGTGATCATTAAGAACCAGTATGGGTTCATTAAGAACAAGTAATGCCAGACTAACATCATGTCTTTGTTTTGATAGGGTTACTAGATAGGTAGTTCAGGGGAATGCCATAGCCTTAGCATATCTGGATTTCAGCAAGGCATTTGACAGTTTCTCATGATATCCTAACAAATAATTTGGAGAGATGTCATCTGGAAAATAGTTTTTAGGTGGGCTCAGAACTGGTTGACTGACTGGACCCAAAGTAGTTACTAATAGATTGATTTCAACCTGAAGGGAGGTCTATAGCAGAGTAATCATTGTTCTATCCTTGACCCTGCTATATTTAACTTTTTTTTTATCAACAACTTCAATGAAAGCATAAATGACATGCCCATCAAATAATCATTTATATTTATATAGCTCCTTAAAGCTTACATTACTCCTTTTGATCCTCATGACAACCCTGTGAGATGTCTTACAGATTATTTTTCTCATTTTAGAGATGAGGAAACTGAGGCTCAGAGCAGGTAAATGACTTGTCCAGAATCACATGGCTAGTAAATGTAAGATGTAAGACTTGAACCCAGGTCTTCCTAACTTAGGTCCAGCACTCTATCCACCATATTGTGGCACCTTTCAATTTCAAATGACCTGAAACTGGGAGTGATATTTAACCTAACATACTCAAAATTTTTTTTAAAAAAAGGAATCTTGAAAGTGAACTGAAGTAAAGTGAAAAATGAATATAAATGAATGTTAAGCTCTTCACTTGGGTTAAAAAAAACCTCAAATATATAAGTATAGCATGGGTGAAATTTGGTTAGACAGCATTTCATGTGAAAAAGATGTGAGGCTTCTAATAGGCTGTAATTTGAATATGAATCAACAGTGTAAAATGGCTACCAATAGATAGAATTTCATTTTGGGCTGCATTAATAGAAGCATACTGTCCAGAGCAAAGGAGCCAGTAGACCCCTCTCTTCTACTCTTGTCAGACCCTATTTAGAGTATTGTGTTCTGCTCTAGTCATCACATTTTAGGAATGACATTGATGAGTTAGAAAGTATCAATAGGAGAATAGCTAGGATTAGGAGACGACTTGAAACCATGTCACAGTGAAGTAGTCCATTTGAAGTAAATGAGAATGTTTAGCCCACAGAAGAAAAGGTTTAGGAGAGATATAACTGATTTATTCCAATATTCAAAGGAATGACACATGGAAGAGGGATTAAAGTGCTCTGCTTGGCTTCAAAGGATATCTTAGTCTAACTTCTACCCATTGAAGGAATCCTTTCAGATAGTCAAACAGTCTCTGCTTGAATCGCTCCAATGATAGAGATCTCACTACCATCTGGGGAAGTCCATTCCATTTTTAAACACAGTTAAGTTCTTCCTTATACTGAGCCAAAATTTACATTATTGAGACTTCCTGTCACAGTACTTTCCTCTGGGATCATTCAGAACAAATCTAATTTCCTTTACTCATGGCACCCTTTCCCAACTTGCCCCTCACTCTTCTTTTCTCTTTAGATGAAAAATTCCCAATCTTGGGGCAGCTAGGTGGTGCAGTGTATAGAGCACTGGCCCTGGGGTCAGGAAGACCTGAGTTCAAATCCAGGCTCAGACACATAACACTCACTAGCTGTGCGACCCTGGGCAAGCGACTTAACCCCTATTGTCTCACCAAAAAGAGAGAGAGAGAGAGAGAGGAGAGAGAGAGAGAGAGAGAGAGAGAGAGAGAAGTGGCTTAAAAAAACCTTGACATTTGCTACCTATGTGACCCTGGGCAAGTCACTTAATCCCATTGCCTAGCCAAAAAAGACAGAATCATATTAGTTGCATTAGGGAGAATGTTGAGATTACTGACATCTTAGGCACCTCTAAAGAATCGTCATTGGTTCTTAAGCTAGGTGGTGCAGTGTATAGAGCACTGGCCCTGGAGTCAGAAGGACCTGAGTTCAAATCTGGCCTCAGAGCAGACGCTTGACACTTACTAGCGGTGTGACCCTGGGCACCTCAATTGACTCAGCAAAAAAAAAAAAAGTCCAGTCTTGTTAATCAAAGTTCTTTTTCCTAGCCATAGAAGTAGCAAGAAGAGTATAGTCTCTCTGCTGGCTGTTGCGTGTATCAGCTTCAAAGAATTACAGGCTCTAGATCCCAACTAAAAACCCTTGTCTGACAAAGAATCCACTCTACATCACCCTTAACATTCATCCTCTGTTTGAAGACTCCCAGAGAAGGGGACCTCATCACCTCCTGAAATAACCCATTTGACTAATTGGTAGCAAGGTTTTTTCCTTTTTAAATTAAGCTTACATCTACCTTTCTGCAATTTCCACCCATTGTTCTTAGCTCTGCCCTTTGGAGCTAAGCGGGTGTCCATTCCACATTATAGCCCTTCAAATACGCAAGGTCAGCTATTAGGTCCTTGCTAAGCTTCCTTTTCTCCATGCCAATTAACTCTGGTACCTTCAACCAGTGTTTATATGAGATAACCTGGTGACGTCTCACCATCCTGGTCACTTCTCTGGATGCTCTCCAGTTTACAAATGTCCTCCCTAAAATGTGGTACTAAGAACTGAATAGGATACTTCAAATGTGGTCTGACCAAGGCAAAGGACAATGAGACCATCTTCCTCCTCCTTCTAGACACTGCACCTGCTATGTGCCAGGTTTTTACAGTTATCTCATTTGGTTTTCAGAACAACCCTGGAAAGTGTTATTATTATCCCTATTTTATAGTTGAGGAAACTGATGTAGACAGAGGTTAAGTGACTTGCCCAAGATCATTCAGCTAGTAATTTTCAGATGAACTACTATCTAACCATACCTTTTCAATGTCATACTTGTGAAATTTTTTATTTGAACCCAAGTGTAAAATTTTATATTTGTCCCAATTAAATTTCTTCTTATTAGATTGAACCCCACATTCCGGCCTATCAAAGACATTGTACACTATGATGCTGTCATGCAGTATGTTAGCTATCTCTCAGAGTTTGTCTGCTTTCTGAAAATTTGATGAGCATGTCTTCAATGCCTTTAAGTCATTGATAAAAATGTTAAACAGCTCAGGGCCAAGCACAGATTCCTGGGCACATCACCAGTGACCTCCTTTGAAGCTGACCTTATAATATCAAGTTCCTCTGAGCTAATGTGACAGTTTCATCCCTACTGCCTAGGTCCCCAGCCAGGGCTATCCTGAATCATGGCTTCACAGCCTGAAGGAGCTGAATGTTATAATGCTGCCTGGTTCATCTTCCATGGTATGGCTTCTCTGGAATAATGGGAAGTATGTTACTTCCTTGAACTAGGGAAATCCAGGCAGGGGATGGGGTGCAGAAGGGCTAAAATGAGTGAAAAATTATACATACATACATACAAAATCCCTTCACCCATTAGCATAATATCTTGTAGAAGCAAATAGGTGGCATAGAGGTTAGAGTGAAGGAAAACCTGAATTCAGATACAGCCTTAGATGCTTAGATACTTAGATACTAGCTGTGTGACTTTGGGCAAGTCATTTAGTCTCCATTTGCTTCAGTTTCAACTGTAAAATGAGAAAAATAATAGTACCCTCCTCCAAGTTGGAATGAGGATCAAGTGAGGTAATATGTGCAAAGTGCTTCACACAGTGTCCGGCACATAGCAAGCACTACAGTAACGCTAGTCATCATTGTTATTATTGTCCAGACGCATATTCACTCTTAACCATGCTGCTCACCCAAAGACACATGCCCTACACCATCCTACAGGTAAGCTTACTGTTGCGCATTTCACTCATTCATGCCATAAACAAGTACTGAGCACCTCTCATGAGCAACACCCTATGCTGAATGATGAAGGGGAATGCTAAGCAGTCTAAAACATGGATTTTGCCCTCAAGGAGTTTAGAGTCTGATAGGGATGACAGGATATATACACAGATAACTTACAATAAAAGGCCACATCTCAAGAATGCCTCAAGTAAGGCATAAAAAGACAGTCATACATATGTATGTATTCTAAAGATATCTGTGTGTGATATATGTGCATATGTATATATATGTATATACATACACACATATACACACATCAGAGAGAAAGAGAAGAGAGAGAAGAGAACAGAAAGAAAATGAGAAAATGAGGGTAAAGGGCTGAAGAGAAGAGTGGAGAGAAGAATACAAGATGAAAGAAGAATGGGGGTGGAGAGAAGAGGGAAGGAGAGGAAAGATGAGGAGACAAAAGAGAAGGACAGGGCTGGGCATAAAAGGGCAAAGGAGGGGAGGACAGAGGATCCAAATTTATATCCAATAAGGTAACCTGTCAGTCATAAATTGATGAGTGAACTGATATTGTGTAATATTCTAGGGGACCCTTTCCTGACTGCTCTCATTCCAGTATACATTTTCTTTCTCCTCTTTAATAGAGGCCAGGAGACAACAATCATGTGGTTGGAGGACTATTTTTCTATGAAAGATCCTATGAAAGATTTAGACCTTACTGGTAAGTGATTCCTTCTTCTTCCCAACCTCTTTATGTTTGTAGGAGTGAGGATGTTAGCAGCCAACCCATTTTTGTCCACTAAACAGTGGGCAATTATAGCGTTTGGGTGCTATAGAGCAATTGACATCCATTATTACCTCATATGACCTTTCCCATAGCCCTGTTAGATGGACAGAGCAGACATTTCCCAGATGTAGATACTGACACTGAAAGAGGGGCGGCAACTTTCTCTTCGTCAGAGCTAATACATTGCTGAGCCAGAATATGACTAAAGGTCTTTGGATTCCAAGTCCAGGACACTTTCCTCTACTCCACTGCCTCTTATTGTTATGGCTTCATTAGGGTTAACTAATAATGAAGCAATAATATTTCCAAGCCTTGGCTACACTTCCTAGGAGCTGGAGAGAAGACTAATTATCTGACGACACTAATAAATGGTTATGATGTTATTAAAAATGGCACCAAGCTAGGATTAATAGGCCCATCAATTGTAACGAATCAGGTTTAACAAGGTTCCCTGTATCTCCCATCAGTGCCCCGTTGCCTTGATGAACGCCATGAATTTGTAATAAACGCACCGTGTACAAAGACAATAGATTAGTCTCCTTTCATTTTCACTGCTTTGATTTCGCCTGGGACAGCTCTGGCATCCATTGAGTGTTTCACTAAGGCTGCTTCACAAATGTGCCTCTGAACTCATCGGGTCTGACTATGTCATTTCCTTGCTCAATAGCCTTCAATGGCTCCCTACTGCCTCTACACAAAATACAAATTCCTTAATCTGGCATTTCAGGTCTCCTTCTTCCTCTTCCTCATACGATGAACACACATAGGATGTGAAACCAGAGGACCCAGAGTTGAATTCCAGCACTGTTAATTACTAACTGTGTGACTCTGGGTAGGTCCCTTCACCTTTCTGGTCCTCTCTCATTTATAAGATGGGGAGGGTGTGTTGGACACGTACAAGGAACTGTGCTGGGCACTGTGGGCACAGAAACAAAATAAAAAATAGTTCTGTTTTCAAGAGATTCTAGATTCTACTTAAAGGATATCTAGAATTGAACATCCATCTCTACGGAATTAGAGAATCTTAGGCTGTGACCTCAGATGGTGTCCAGTCCATCTCCTACTTGAAGCATGCCATCTACGGTATCTATGACAAGTAATTTTTCAGCTTCTACTTGGATACCTCTTGTGACAGGGAACTCACTACCTTTCAAGGCATCTCATTCCATTCTTGGAGACCTTTGATTGTTAAGATCCTTCCTTGCATACTGGACCAAAATCCTTGTTCAAAGCCTGGCCATGGTCATGAGGGAACCAGAAGAAATACGGTTGATCTAGGCCCTGTGACCTCTTTACCTTTGGAAGGAGTCCTTCATGGAACTGCTGGAGTATAGTGTATACTCCATTCTTCATTCTGGTAAAGACTTACAGACCTGTGGGATATGGCCCAAGAAACCAAGAAACTTTAACTTACCGGCCAGAAGGTACTTAATACTGCTAGTTTTCCCCAGCCACCTACCCAGACGGCTTGCCCTTGCCACCCCTGGGATACAGGGTGGTGGTGGTGGGGGCAATACCATGTATGACATCTGCTCAGGCTTGCTCAGGGAAGTTTCTGAGGATTCCTGAACTGTCTTCCAGCACACAAGCAGGAAAGGGAGAGAAAAATTTCAGGCTTCCCAAGGGACAAATCCATTCACACATGTAGAATCAATACGTGATAAGTTGAATCACTTCATAGCAATGTGGACTGAGTATCACAAAGTCCAACCAGTGACCAGGAGGCTCATCTGGGTGCCCATGAAGAAGCAGACATTTCAGACTAGAGGAACAGAGGAATTATAGGATTTAGGGCTGGTGGTAGTAGTAGAAAATATGACTTTTAGAGATCATTTGGTCCAGTCCCCTCAGTTTTACAGCTAGGAAAATGGTTAATTGGCTTGCCTTAAGGTGCATTGTAAGTAGGATTAGAATCCAGGTCTTCTGACTCTACAGCTTTCCTTTATATATGTTTCTTTCTCAGAATAGGTCAAGTTAGAGAGAATAGTTTACAAATTAATCTCATGGTTTGGGACTGGGTAGGGTGATTTTTATATGTACTTAGAATGTCTTTTTCCTAGTATTACATTTCTGAATCTGTATATTTCCTTTTCCTTTAGGAATAAACACTAAGGAAAGTCACTGATGTCGGCTAGGGTATGCAGAGATGGAAGGAGACAGAAAAGAGCAAAATCCACACTGGTGAGGGCCACACAGATGCAGAGGAAGGGGGGAAATTAGGACAGGAACATATTAGTGACTTAGGGTTTGCTAATTTCACAATTTTTTTTTTTGCCAATTTTATTCTCACACCAACCCTGGAAGATAGGTGCTATTATTATCCTCATCTTACAGATGAAGAAACCAAGGCAGACAGCTGTTAAGTGACTTGTCTAGGGCCATGCTGTTAGTAAATGTCTGAAACAGTATTTGAACTCAGACCATTTAGACATTAAACATCATCTAGTTCAATCACCTTATTTTACTAAGTACTGAAAGATGTGAAGTGAGTCTTTCAAGATCACACAGCTAAAGCCAGCTGAGACAGAAGACCCAATTAGGGCAGGTGGATACATACAGGGAACTGAGATAACCCTTGCCCATGCATCTGGGGTTTTGAGGAGAGAAGGGCCAAGTCAGATTGAGCACTTGTGATGGAACAGGGAACTTGGATAATGTTGGAAGGAAAGGGAAGTACGTTATTAGGAAAGTCTTCTACCTAGAGACTTCAGTTTCCTGAAAAAAACTCAATTAGAGGGCAAAGGCTCTGTTTCTCCCATAAAACCAAAGTCTGAACCAGGGCCAGGGCCCTATTTCCTCCATCAGATCAAAACCATGTCCTCTCAGACATCGTGCATCTTTTCTCTGTATCCCCAGGACAGGGCTCTTCAGGGGAGATTGGGAGTGGAGGTACTTATACCATGGTATCAAGGAAACCACAGGAATAGAAAGGACTCATGCATTTCCCGGAGACACTACCATGTGTCCATCCCCACTCCCCATCATGCTCCCTTACTTACATGGTCAATGAGCTCCTTAATCATGCCATTCCACTGGCCCTTCTCATCCTGTGCCCCATACTTCCCATCTTCCACCAGTCGGATCTCATAGGTGAAGCCCAAGATGTGGGCCAGTTCCTTCAGCAGGTCAATGCAGTAGCCCTCAAACCGGTCATTCCCAAAGAGGGTCATGTCTGACTTCCGGAACATGACGAAGGGTTCCTCCTGCGGGTGGCAAATGAGAGTGGACGAGGGAGGAAGATGGAAACATGGAAGCTTCTGTGAGGAAGAGGGGCACAAAAGATCCCTCCATTCCCCTAGACTTATGCTCTCCATGAGGCTGGACAACATTCCTCCTTCAGGAGGGATCTCTTTGAGGGAAAAGATTCTTATTCATCTTTATCCTCTTCCCCACCCCCACCACAGTGCTACGCACGCTATAGCTGCTCAATAATCAATCAAAAAGTATTTAAGTGCCTACTATGTATCAGGCAGTGTTCTAGGCCCTAGGGATACAAAGTTGAAACAATTGTTGCATTCAAGGAACTTACATTCAATAAAGATTGTAGAATGAATAAAGGCATTTTAAATAAGACCCATGACATTGATTTGATCCCAAAAAGCATCTTCCAGGGTGGGTGGGTAGAGAGGTGAGTTTATAAATCAGCTTTTCTCTCCAGACTTGGGGTGACACCAGGAAGGTACTGGAGAGACTCGCTGAAGACTGAACCAGCTTAGGGTTTCAGAGTTCAGGGGGAGCCTTTCTTTCACCCCTACCCAAATCCTGTTTCTATGCTATTCTGAGTAGAGAACATTTTAACTTTCCCATGGAGGAAGAAAACATAGACTCAGCTTGGGAAGTTCCTTAGCTCATTTGGTCTCCCAGGGAGCCTTTTCTCATATAATCAGAATTCTAGAACCCCTAAATTTTAGGATTGAAAGGGACCTCATTGGCCATATAATCCAACTCACACTCCCAAAGAAATCTTCACTATGATATAACCAACAAATAGTCCTCCAGCTTCTGTTTGAAGACCTTCACTGAAGAGCTAACGCATCTCTTCTCCCGCCCCCCACCCCCAGCAGCCCATCGCTCTTTGGACAGCTTTTAAATGTTAGGCAGTTTTTCTTTGAATTAAGCCTAAACTTAAATCCTTACAATTTCCACCTATTTCTTCCATTTTGCCCTCTGGAGCCAAATAATATAAGCTGAATCACTCTTCCACATGCCAGTCCTTCAACTAGTTGAAGACAGATATCATGTGTCCCCTGAGAGTTCTTTTTTTTTCCAGCCTGAATATCCCCAGTCTCTCACTTGCCTCCCCTGGGAACAGATTAGAATGTAAACTACTTGGGCATTAGCTGTTTTTTTTGCCATTCTTTGTATTTCCAGTGCTTGTCACACACCTGTAACAGCCACTTAATAAATGCTTATTGAATGATTGATTAGGAATAATAAAAGAGGGTTGGACCTCTAGGATTAGATAGCCTATAATAAGGCCTCCTTACACACCCTGCTACATTACTGCTGCTTAATTAAAATCATAGATTCACAAATTACTGAATTTGGAAGAGACTTTTGGTATCATCCAGTCCAGGGCTTCTTAAACTTTTTCCACTCACTACCCTTTTCTATGTTTCAGCAGCATTCCTTGGCGTTGCATGGCATGACAGCATGTGCAGTGTAAAGTGCACATACTTTGTGTTCAGTACCAAGGCTGCATTGAAATTGCTTGATGCAACCTGGGCAAGCACTGCCAGAAATACCTCAGATTCATTACGTATTTGATTTTGAATTAATTTTTGGTCGTTGTGCATTCAGAAACCTTTCACTCATGCCATATGGGGTCTCAACCCACAATTTAAGAAGTGCTAATCTAGTCCAATCCCTCCATGAATTGGGCAGATGGTCAACCTGAAGCCCAGTGAGGGGGTCTGCTTTGCCTATAGCTGCATAATAAGTAGCATGGCACTGTGGAAAGAACATTCAATTTGAAGTCAAATAACATGAGTTTGAACCTTGGCTCTGCTCTCTAAATAGCATCTTCATGACCTTGGGAAAGTTTCTTCATATCTATGTACAAGTTTCTTCATCTGGAAAATGGAGGGGTTAGATTAGGTGATCCCCAAGATCCTCTCCTGCTCTGAAACTTATGATCCTATTCTTATTACTTGAAAAAATAAAAGTTCAAAAATGAATTTAAAGATAAAACATGGCTCTGTTTTGCTGGAAGAACCATGACTAGGCCCTCCTGTTTCCAGTCTAGTGACCTTTCCACACATCACATAGTCTCACATAGTCTCAAGAGATTAAGTGTATGTCAGGGTGGGAAGGTGTGAAAACAGGTTGCTACTTGAGACAGTGAACTTGGAAATGAAGCCTGGCCCCTCCCACATGATCAGAGGCACAGGAATTACTAGCCATTTATACCATGTTTAATGAGTAAGGATTTCTCTGCCACAATCTGAAGCATCTAAAGACTTTAATGACATGAAGGCTGGAAAATTGCATGTACACAACATGGTCTAGTATTCATTTGGTTCCAGCTTACTTTTCCAGGCTTATTACGCATTACTTCATAGCATCACAGGAACAGATCCAGAGCTGGAAGGGACCTCAGAGCTCATCCAGGCCAACGAAACTGAGGTACAGTGAGGTGATATGACACGCCAAAGCCACACAGGTAGGAAGTAGCAAAGTTAGAATTTGAGGTCATGTTCCATAGGACCATCAATACCACATTCCACTGTACCATGTTGCCTTTCCTCTTCACACATTCTCTAACCCAATCAAATTGGCTTACTATGCAAGACTGTCCACTGTGCTTGCACTGCACCACTCCCTTCCTCACCTGTACTTCTTAGAGTTCCTAGCTTCTTTCCAGGTCCTGCTCAAATACATATTCTACATAAGGGATTTTTCTGGTCCTCTTCACCTGCTTGTCCCGCTCCTCCTCCAGCTTAATATTATCTTGGATTTACTTTCCATATATTTTGAATTTACTCATATGCATATGTTGATTCCCCCAATAGAATGCAAGCTCCTAGAGGCCAGGAATAATTTTGATTTTCTGTTTTTGTGTCCCCAAAACCTAGCACCTCATATTTAATGAATTCTTGATGGTTGATTATCACAGAGTCATCTTAACACAAATCTGACTTTTCTCCTTGATTCTATTCTTCTTACCCACATATCATTTAAGTACCTTACAAGTCCCTGCATCTTTGATGAAAATAAGGACTTTCTCCATGGGCTCTAAGTACAACTTGCTGGCTCTGGAAGAAACTACTTTCTAGTGGAGAGGTTAGGCTTTCTTTCATTCCCATGCTTGGAACCATCTGAATTAAACCTTTTTCCTGGACACCCATCCAGTTTCACTAGCTGCTGCCCCACTAGCTCTTGATATTTTATAACTGAGAATCTCTTTAGTATCTTTGACTCTTTGCACCACAGGATCTCAGAGCTGGAGGGAATCTTGTGTAATCCTTGCCTTAAAAAGCATCTCCTCAACAAAGTTTGCAACATGTATTAATTGAAATGTCTTGAATATACTTGAAGACTAGTCATGAGAACACACTATCTCCTAGGGAAGTCCAATCTACTTTTGAATAGAACTCTTTCAGGTAATCCTCCCTTGAGCTGAGCCCAAATCTGTCTTTCAGAAACTCCTAACCTTTGCCACTGGTCCTGCCCCACTGGGGTCTTGCAGAATAAACCTAATGCCTCCTTCACATATATAGACCCTCCAAAATCTTAGAGACTGCTATCATGCTCCTCTCTCCCTTATCCCTGCCCAAGTCTTCTGTTCTTCCAGGTTAAATATTCCATGTTTCTTCAACTGATTTTCCTGTGTTTTGTTTTGTTCTGTTTTGTTTTTGGTTTGTTTGTTTCTTTGTTTTAGACTAGATCACCCTATCTCACCTGGTATGGAAATATAGAACTACTCATTGGCCTGATCCCACTTTGATCAGCACAGGAGCTTTGACCTGTTCCATTTCCAACCTGGTTTGATTCACCCCTCTTCAGGCAATTGGATGGCCTCCCAATCACAAAAGGGCTCACCAAATTAAGGCTGCAACTAGTATAGATACCCAATTGGCTTAGCTTGCTCTAGCTTAGAACTTCTGAGCTCAAGAGATGCATCAGTCTCACTCTACCTCATAGCAGGGATTGCAGGCATGTACCATGGTGTCCAGCCTATATGGTACAGTGTAATGTATATGTGATTTAGTGTGAGAGGACTGGAATTTGAACCCAGACCTAGACTCTGGCAGTTACTACTTAAGTGACCTTGGGAAAGTCATTCAACTTTTCTGGAACTCAGTTTCTTCATAGGTAAATTAAGAGGGTTTTGGATTAGATGACTTCCAAGATACTTTCCAGTTTCTATAATTCTATGATCCCTCAATAATTTGGTAAGTTTTCTCTAGATGCTCTTTGACTCAAACCTACTCCTTCTTCATTGAGGAACCCAGAACTAAGTACAGTACACTAGGTGTGATCTGACTAGGGCAGATGACAGTGGAATGATAACCTCTCTGATTCTAGATGCCAGATCTCTTTTAATGCAACTTAAATTTGTGTTTGTTTTTATAGCTGCCATATCCAGCTTGTGGTCACTAAACCTCTGGGATCTTTTAAACAAGGAAGCCTTGTCTCAGCACAACTCCCCCATCTGGCAAGGATGAAGCTGATAATTGTATTTTGAACTCAGTTAGCAATCTGCTCTGTATCTTCATTTCGTGTCTGCCTTTCTCATCATTGTTCTGTTTCTGTCAATCAGTTACATTAGCTCATTACAAAATCAACTTCCCCCAGGCCCACATTTACATTATCCTTGCATGAGACACCTCTTGTTAGCAGGCAGAAAGGGATACAACTAGGCTGACATGGAGCTGAGAATCAGGGCAGTTTATTGCAGTCACTTGGCAAGGATGGTTTGTTGGAAATGCAGTGTGTTGTGGTGGAATGAGCAATGAATATGGAATCAGAGAGCCTGGTTCAAATCCTAGCTCTCTTCCTTGCAACTTTGTGACCTTGAGCAGGGTATCTTCTTTGATGATCTATTTAGCGTCCATGTGTTCAATTATCATCCCCCCAAAAGATGATTCCTAGATCTTAAATCCAGCCCTGGTGTCTCTCCTGATCTCTAGGTCATTGCCGATTGGACAGTGTGCAGGTATTTCAAACTTATGTCCAAAAGAGAACTTATTCCCCCCCCTCC